ATTTTTTTTTTTTTTTTTTTTTGGCAAGTGAGAGACTAAGTGCTAGTCTTAATGATCTTTTTATGTAATGTTGAGAGAGGAGGGTTGAAAAGAGAATCCTAAAAAAAAAAACTGACAAAATGGGGTCAAGAAAAAGAGAGAAGTTTTTGGTTTTTCTACAGGTTTGGAAACAGCTTTTGAGCCATTTGCCACTCATATTCTAGCTAGATATCTAGTTTGGCTTTAAGCTAAGGGGATTTGATTGGAGAGTAACTATATGGTTTGCTTTTACGTACAACAATGGAACTAGATTTTCAAGGGTTTTGCTCCTCTACATGGGACAACAAAGTTAGATTTCAACTCAAAGTTAAAAGCTTCCTTTTTTGCATTTCTTGCATGGGAATATTACTTGTCATTGATCTATACATAGTTTATCTTGTGCCCCCACACCTTCTTTCTACGTACTCTTAATCTTTTATTTACATTTAGTAGCTATTAGTAGTAGGATTTAAGTTATGTACTGACATTTAAGTTATCATTTTTATCAGATTACCGATTAATGATTAATTATTGAGATATAATTGTAATTATTCCTCTCTATCTTCATTAGATAGAGGTAAGGTCTGTGTACATTTTACCCTCCACGGACCTCATTTGTGGGATTTCACTGCGCTTGTTGTTGTTGTAATTGTAATTATCAAAAAAAATAATTAATTTATTATGTAAATATTATTTATATTGTCAATGAATACACCGTTGAGTTCGGTGGTATCTTCTCATCAATTTAAAGTTGCTACATTAATGGACTGTAGGAAAATGAAATGGAGCATCTTGTTTTTGGAATATTAGTCTGTGAATGCTAAGAATTTATGTCGTATTGTCATAAACACAGTTTTCCGGCCTTTTACGTACTTTCAGTCATTATAAAACGACAGTCCTTAATATGCTTAATTTATCATCGTTCCACATCTTAGTACATTGATTGACACGCGGAGCATGTTGAATTCAATATTAATTCATAATTGATTGTCTAATGGTAAAGTTCAAGTACTTCCTTCGGTCCACTCTAACTTATTTTTTTGATATTTTCGAACTCCATCTTTTATTATTAATTTACAATGAAATTGACCATATTAACTTAAATTTGTTCATTGAAAATACAACAAATACTTCTAAACTCTTTACTCCAAGGACAATTTTGGAAAAAAAATTTAATTCCAAGGGCAATTTCAAAAAATTGATATTTGAAAAAATCAAATATATTGTGAACCACAAAAGAAAAAACTAAAAAAATTAATTAAAGTGGAGCAGATGGAGTAAAGCTATAGAATCATCGTAGAGCATGAACTTAGTATATGGAACCAGTAACTTTTGATTATATCTGATTTAAACGAATTCAAGATTTAGAATTAAATATTTCAAATAAGTGTGATCTGATTCTTTATGTATGTATATTTACTTCAGAGGCTGACCTACCCTTAGGGTAGGGGGTCGAGGGCTCCCGATAACTTCTGAAAAATTATATGTATATATATGTATATATCTTAAAATAAGTATATATTTTGATTGATATTCTAGGACTCAAAGCTTAGACAGCTACATTGATTGATTTCAGAGGGCACAACTTAACTTTTAGTATACTGCTTGGGTTCTATTCTCTCTATAGCTTAACATTTGCTCAAGTTTTTATTCGACAGTGGTTCCCCCGCCACTTTCAAATCCTGAATCTGCCTCTAGTTCACATAATCCGTCCTAAATGTCATCTTGTCCGTAATTAAACGCAAGTAGAACATGAAGAAAAATGTCATTAGAAAACTCTATGATTTGATGTTATAAGGTACTAGAAATGAGATGACCAGAAAATGTGATTTGGTGCTATCACGTATTGCGTGTGACGAAATTATCCCTTATGTTTCGGGGTAATTTTAATATATATATAATCTCTTAACTATATACTTAATTAGTTCTGGTTCATTAAATTTTTCAAACGTGAGCACTTTTTGGTTTCGTAAATCATTTAATAAACTCTAGCTCTTAGATTTAATGAGAATTGTTAAAAAAAATACTCCCTCCGGTCCAAAATAAGTGATTTTTTGGTTGTTTTCACACATTAAGAAATTCACCTTTTAACATTAAATTGACCATATTAACCTTTACTATCTTTTCACATAAACACTCCTAACATATACTCCAGCATTAATTTCCAAAGGCAATATAGGAAAAAATAATTAATTCATTCTTGAAATCTGAAAAAATCACTTATTTTGGATCACAAGAAAAAAGCCAACAAATCACTTATTTTGGACATGAGGGAGTAATAAACTAGAGACTTAAAGAAAATTTCGTCAAATCACATAAATAGCAACACCAAAAAGTATACCAGACATAAAAAAAATTAGACTAAAAATAAGATAAATTGCATCTTAAAAAACTAAATTTTCATGGATCGCATCTTATTACTTTGTTCATGGGCGGAAGGTTGTGGGATTAGAGAGAAGAAAAAGAAAAAAGACGGGATCATTATGCAAATAGTTTGCCAAATTAACTGTTTATTTTTTCTAATCGATATATATACACAGAGTATATACAATTATATAGATATTATAAAATGGATTACAATATAATTATACATCCGCACAGTTCAATTTTAGTGTAAACGGTTAGGTAAACAACCATTTAGGTTTATTCTTCGTACAGGGAAGAATTGGTAAATGTATATAGAACCTCGCACTAGTGAGATAGTATTACTTAATCCTCACTACAACTTTTTCATTTCGTCTAATTGTTTAACCCAAAAAATAGTTTTCAAGGTCAAACCAATAATTTTATATGACGGGCCACAAGCAACTGATTCAATCCGAAAGATATAAAATTTCGTTAATACAACGTGATAGAGAAGTGAAAAATAAATTCAATGACAAATAATATAATAAAATAAAGCAGAGAAGAAAGAATTCTTATTGAATGATCTTTGATAGGATAATGAGCTGAACTGAGCTTGAAGGGCCGAACTATGGCCAACTTGGAAGCAAGATGATATGAATTACAATGTATAAAATTGTAGAGAAGAAAATTAGATTCCTCTGATAGTGGTAAAAGTTGTCTATTTATAAGGCTAAATCTAAGTAACTAGTCTCCTTGAATTATGGATCCATTATGAGCATTTACTCAATCCATCCATTACTTTTGGAAGACTTGTAACAACTGTGTAAATATTGGAATTCCGTAACTGATGAGTTAATTCCATAATTGATGAGTTAATTCTGTAATTAATGAGTCAATCTCGTGCCTGTTGAGTTAATCCCGTGCCTGTTGAGTCAATCTCGTAATTGATTGCCTTATTCTGACCGTTACAATCATTTATTGCATTTATTAATAATTGATTTGTAACTGATGGTGTAATGATGGTAAATCTCATATAATCCAGGATTAATTTATTCATTCCTCATTTGTAATTATGAGATATTCTCCTGCGCCTGATCTGGGCTATTTCATGATGATTAGTTTCGGGGCTAACATGCACGGTATAAGTATGTTCGGTCCCGGGGGTGTTTCACATATCATCTTTACATGTCTTCTTCATTTTTCTTCAAATTTTACTAACACGTGTCGCCATTTAATAGACCCACATGGCGAGTCTAATTTTTACTAATACACTAATAAGTTTCATGGATTAATAAATTGCAAATTTTAATATCTGTAAGTACAGCTAATTAAAGTTATCAATTTCTTTCTTGTTTTTTTCAAAGCTAAACTCTCTATTACATAGGGTTTTCAACTATTCATTTTAAGGCTGGTTTATGTACCCAAGAATTACCAAATTGAAGTTAGGATGGTTGAGAACAATTTGCAGAGAAAAACAAAAAAGCAACACGGCCAAAAGCTGCATATGATTTTGAACAAGGAGATGAGATTTAATTTATCAAGTTCCTCAGCTAGTCTATAATATAATCTCTGTGTAAATTAAAGTAGAAATAGCTATATATAGGGTTCAGTGTCTGAATGAAAGCAGCAAAAAAATGGCAACTCTATTGGCAGGTCAAAACTATACACTTTTTTTCATACTTATGGGACTAAACCTAAATCTTTAGACCCCTAATATATGTATAAAAATCCAAAATCACACTAGGTTAAGCTGGACTACTGCTGTCTAACCAGCACCTGTGAATCTATATATCATGGCACTTAAAACATAAAAGTAACTGTACTATTAAACATGCTTTACTAATACAAGTCCATTGGTCAATCTGAAGTTAATAAGCAGCTTTTTTAAATCCCTTTTATGTTTTTATTTTGAAAAAAAAAAACCTATCTTGATTACTCTAAAACTTTCTACTTTTATATATAAAAGAATGACCCTATTTTGTTATTAATCCGTTATAGAAAAATGACACATTTTTTTATTTTTTACTCGTAATGATAAGTTTTTATAGTCACACAAATATTATGACTAGTGGTGTAGCTACATACAATGAAGGATGATCAGTTGAACACCCTTCATCGAAAAAGTATACTGTGTATATAAATAAAAAATTACTTTTTATACAATGTATAATAAATCTCGAACAATAGACTTAGAGAAGTTCCTGACTTCGCTACTAATTATGACATGTTTAAGATCACAAGCTTAAAAAATTTTATAGTCACACAACGTACTTAAGAGTTAAGACCAACAAAATTTTAAAGTCTTCTCTCTTTTTTTTTCCTAGTAAACTTCGTGTTTAGTCATAATGGATGAGCCTTGAAAATTGAAAGGCTTCAGCGAGGATTTAACAGAGGCGGATGTAGTGTAATAACTAAGGGTTCAATTGAATCCATAACTTTCGACGCAGAGTAAAAATTTGTATATAAAAATTCATTAAAATTGCAAAAATAATAG